GAAGTTGTCCGGCCAGCCGTCCCTGTGATCTCATCGAGTTGATGTTGTCGATCAGAATCGTCTCTCCCCAATCTCGCCTGCCACGACTTTGATCTTATCACAGTGGTGGGGATTGACTATCGATGCTCCTCGTACCGGGGACCACGGGATGTCTATCTTCTGCGAGGCTCCTCCTCCCCTCTACCTCGCCCTTACACCACACCTTGATAGATCTCGATGGTCTTTGGTCACGTCCCTCTGATAGTTGGGGCTTGGTACCCTCTTCCCAGTAGGTTATAGGAATCCGGTCAAATACTCCCCCCCTTCTGCTCTCTTCCCTCCTACCAGCTGCCTGCTCTGGCCCCAGCTACACCCCGTCGGTGCTCTATACTTCTCCTCCCCTCCAACAGTGGGTAACAAAACAAAACACAAAATATATCACTGGCAGAAATACCAGATACCAAGGGCTGCCCTTTGCCCCTCTTTATGCCTGCTCCTACCACCCGCTCTATTGCCACCAGTCGCAGCCTCTCAGGCCTTGACCAGCCTAGCCTTGGTCTGGGGTCAGCCTACTGTATTCTCGGTGGGTCCCCTCGGCGCATCTTCCCCACACCTCTTCTTTGGGGCAGTCCGCTCCCTCTGTGATCCCACCTGATCCGGTGATTTGGCTTCTGCCGCCGCCTCTTATCTTCTGTGGGCTCCTCCAGGTCTCAGTATTCTCCAACCCTCTTCAGCCTCCGCACCTCGACCTTGCTTCCTCCCCCAGCCTTGTTGCTGGCTATGACCTCCTCCTGCGGGGTCTTGCTCTGTCCACCGGCGCTGCAGGCTGCAAGCTCCTGTGCTCCGAGGGGACTTGAAGAGTGCTTCCCCCACCGGCACTCCTCCTGATCTCCTCCCCTCGGGGCTGTACTCAGATGCTTTTAAGTCCCCCAACCGGCTCCTACAGCTGTGGCCATCAGCTGGCCGCAACTTTATAAAAACGCGGCTACCGAGCCACTTGGGTTGCGCTGCCACTTCTAGTTTTGCCGCGGTGCTCTCTAAAGGTAAGAACCTTTCTATTTGCTTTTCTTTTCTTTCTCTTTTTCCTCCGCCCTGTTCCTGCTCCCCGAGTTCCTCCCAGGCTCCCTGGGGTTTTCCCGTCGGCTGCTCCCCGGGACACCCTAATTACAAGTTTAGAGAAGTGTGAGAGGGGAGGCAGGAGTCCCTCCCCAGTGTGGCCCAGATCCTGATCAGCCCTCCCCGATACTTACCCCAGGAACAGAAAAAGGCAGCAGCTGGAGAGAGACCCGAATGCCGACACAAAAGCAGGCTCAGCAGTTTCGCGGCTGCTTGAGCCTGTGTATCAGCGAGAACTGGGAGCATGGCTCCCGAGCAGCGTGAGCAGCTCGAAAGGCAGTCGGGGATCCAGCTGAGCTGGGGCCGCAGAGGGAGGAGCAGAATGCCATCTGGGAGACGCTGGCCTCAGAGCTGGTAGGCTCCAGCCCCAGCCCCAGCCGAGAAGGAGCTGGGTGCCTGCTGGAGGACCCTGATGGGTGAGGCAGAGGGCTGCCCCAGGGGCCGATGGGGCCAAGGGAGCTCCACTGAGAGTCAGTAGCCTCAAGGGACGCCGCTGGGAAGCAGATGGGCTCTGACCAGAAGCTCAGACACTGGGGGTGGGGACGGCTTCTCAGGCTCGCAGGCATCCCCAGACAGCCTTACAGCAGGCAGAGCATGGGGAATCATGAGCCCCAGGAGGGGGAAGTAGACAGCGCCAGCTGGAGGGACTGGAGCGACGGGACCACAGGTCAGCCGGGCCCCAGGGAGGTGACGCCAGAAGAGCCAGCAAGGGCTGGACGTAGCTAGTAAGATAAAGGGGACAGACAAGTCTTCCCCAAGGAACTGAGGGCCCAAAGAGAGGGACTCTCAGGAGCCTGCCGGCAGAAGCTGGTCATTTTCAGCTGAGTTCTTCAGTTACAGTTTGACCCTGGATGGGGCAGGTTTAGTTTCTCAGGAGAGGGGAAGCCGACCCAGAGATGAGGGATGAACCCCTAAAGAGTGACGGTCAGGAAGACCCGACCCTATCAAGGTGGGCAGTGTGGGAAGACCTGTGGGGAGCAGCATCTACCCAGGCTGAGGACGTGGTAAGGGTGGGGTAGAGGGGAGGTTTGGAGCCCCATGAAGACACCCACAGGATTGAGACCCCTCCAGGTCGTCCGACAGGGAACTGCTTCCCCAACAACAACACCGAAGATGTGGCAGGCGAGAAAAGGGGGCACCAGAATAGAGTTTCATCCTGACGTCACTGTGGGGCAGGGCGCTGATGAAGAAGTTCCCAAAGCTGTACAACACTTACCAGTGACAAGAAGCACACTCACTCCATCTCCCCCACTGGCCCACAAAGTCTTTATCACAGAATAGCCTCTAGACTGCTGTATAAGGTACTTTACTGTGACCTGGCATGTTGGGTTCAGATCTCCTCAAGCAGAAAATAAGTTTGGATATGGGTCCCTGTGCCAGGTTGGTGCTCTAATCCTGAACTGCTGTATAAATTGAGAGCCAGTGGTATCAATTCCTTCTGTGCTTTTAAGGCTTGACGTTGCATTTTGTGTGGAATTTGATTTGGAAGGCTTGTTATAACCCTGCTTATCAGATGGATGAGTGGGAAACTGCCCGGTTTCTAGGTCCTGGCAGGGTGTACATTCTGTTAAGGCTCAAGTGGCTTCCACGTGTCTTTAAAAGTAGAGCTGTGACAGCTTTGATGTTAAAAATTTTAAGCACCTCTAGTATTAACTGATAGCTGAGTGTGGGGGTGAGAATTGAAGTTTTTGACTTTTGGTGTAAATGGGTCCAAGACGCTATGGTGACATAGTGTTGGCGGGCACAAACTGCGACGCTGCCGCTACTGTACAGTAGCAATGAGCTACTGTGCAGTAGGGCTGGAAACAACCCATGCAATGCTGGGACTGCACAGTACCGGTGGTTACTGCACAGTTGCTTAGTACTTGCTAAAGCAAGTAACAACTGTGCAGTTGGGTGCATGTGTAGACGTGCCCAATGTTGCCTAAGTCTCACTTTAGGCATATGAATACAGGTGTAACAGAGAGCCTGGGGCTCCTGTTACTTTAAGGGGAGAAAGGGAAGCAGATGGAGTCCAGACAGCAAAGGCTAGCCACAAGAGGGAAAGCAGCAAAAAAACATTGCTGCCTAGGCAGGGAGCTGCCCATTAGGTAGGATGAAGGAGCATATCTGCAGCCAGTCAGGAGAGCTCTGCCTGGGGTAAGTTGGCTGCAAGGGAGCAGGCAGTAGGGACAAAGAGCTATGAGTGCCTGCAGTAG